TAATGTTATATGCATTATGTATCTGACGCAATTCATGATATTAAATAAATATTATTATTAAAAAAATTGACAACTGCCCTGGATTGATACTGCAACTGCATACTGCCCTGGATGATTTGACCTTATGGTCTTTCGCTACCCCTTCACCCCTCACATTAATGTTTTTTTCTGTATCATTGTATCTTTGCTAATTGTGGTGATAAATAAATTTTTTTGAATTTGAATTTGAATTGATTGAATTACCAGATGGACTTTTGAAAATGGCAGTTCAAATATAACTCTTCCTTGTCTTTCAGAAATATTTATATTTGAGCCAAACTTTTCAATACATTCCTGCTTTGCTATTCTCTCAAACCCAGTCACAACAGTAGCTTCTATTTTGTAGATAATACTATCATCGTGTTTGTTCGCATCTATAATCTCGTTGCTGATGGGGGCAGCCATTTTATTTACGCCTGTAGAGAATCTTGATGTACAAAAATAATAAAATAGAACAAAATTATAAAAATTATAAAAAGATATGGGTGTACACTTTTTATAATATTTTTTGCAATAGAATATACTTAATTAGTGTAAGAAAATAAAACTATACTAATAAATGTAAAACATTTCTGCAAAGATTTTAAATACCCAAAAGATGACCAATCAGCGTCGTTGTTTGTGTTAACGTAAAATAGGTAACTGTTTCCTTATTTGGAACAGAAGTGACGGAGGTCCTCGTATATCAGATTGTGTCTAATTCATGTTTTACAGCAAACTAGCTTTATCTTATATATATATAAATCGACTACCATTTTCTTTGGTGTATTACGCATAAGATCTGGTGATACGCTGTTGTACATCTCTACTAGGAAGGTAACGTTATGTCGAGAAAAACACTGCATCCAACATTTCAAAACAAGCAAGTTTTGTGTTTGGAATGTAGGGCATGTGGAAACTGTGTCTGTACAAGAGGAATGCGGGCTATACTGTTAGCTAATACTCAGGTCGAATTGTACTCGACTGACATTCCGCCTGAAGAGTAAGTCGTATTAATTATTTTTATATTGCTAATTTAGAATTTATACGTTCGGATTATTGTGCTGTACATGTCGTGTACTATAGTCGCTCATACATAGCCGTATATACGGTAAACAGTCAAAGCTATGGCATAACCATTAGCTGCATTTTTCGCAATCACCTGGTTTTAGGTATGTGGGTCACAAAGTGACATAGTTTCTATAAGTATACCATATAGAGTGTGCGTTTGTACAGAGACTGAGAGAGTATACTAACATATTGTCATTGAGCTCACGTACGACACGTATTGCGAGAGCAACTATAGTATATATATGTATGGCATATTATGGAATATTGGCAACATAGTTGCAAACTTGAGTTTGTTCTACTGCGATCCTCAGTCTTGGTCTGTCTGTTTGATCAACTTTGTCTCTTTCCATCTTCGATATAGTCCCTTGGACTTGGAAGACTAATGTTTACGAGGTTATCCAATTAAATCAGTTGTGTGTGTGCACATTCGACAGTGCGAAGCACAGAATAAAATAAACATTGTTATAATTTCAAGTCATCATTATAAATTTTTGAGAAGGGCACCACTAATTTATCATGTTCACAGTGTTTCTCCTACATTGACACGAGTGAGGCGGGCCACCTGGCTCAAATTCTCAGCGGCCACACAGAAATTTGTCCAAAACACCGCCTCGCTGACGGAAATCACTGTTCTTCCATCAATAAACTATACTTTATTGAACTAAAATCGAAATAAAGGTTCAAACGTAAAACACAATGTCGCACAACACACAAGAGATTCAAGAGTCTTGTACAATGTGTTCAGAATAGCTTAGAATGCACCAAATTGCAAATTTTTTTCAAAAATGTTCCGCGGGGCATGCCCTTGGACCACCCTAGCTAGCTAGGCGAGCACCTGGATTGCTCACTTTGCTAGGACCTCGAATAGTGCAAACACACACAACAAATTTTACCACCTCACAGACCTTTTCGGCCAGGGGAAACATTGTTCATATACTTTGTATTTATCCTGACATCTATTTTATACTTCACAGAGCGGTTGATCTAGTTGGAGATCATTATGCTACAAACAACTGCCAATGTCGAATAAAAGATGTAGCATGTTTGCAATGGTATGTACATGGGATCTTATGGTGATTGCTAAATTATAGGTTCTTTTACGAATCTTAAATGCAGTATCAAAAACAGTTATTGGTTAGGACAGTAATTTTTTAATCAGGAATATTTATAATATTGTGTTCATGTCATATTATTTATACTTATATTGTATTTGTATTTATAGGTATGTACATACCTTGGCATTTGTAGTGGTAAAAACTAAAAGCTTCATGAATTCGTAATAGAAAGATCGAATGACGGATAAGAGATGTGAATAAAAAACACACTAATTTATATTAACATGAATTATTCCACAAGTCTTCTATAATAATATCAGGTGTGTATCAATATTGATATACAATCTGATATACAATATTGATACACTCCTGATAATATAGAAGACTATAATATAGTGACTGTGGGCGCTTCCGGTCTATGTTTCTGTGCATGCCTGCAGCTGTCGTTTGTTTTTCAGTGGGAGTTTGGTAGGCTATCATGTGATGTCGCCATGCAAGTCATGCCTCCTGTCCTGCAACAACGGCCACTTCTGGATGTATCACAGTCACGCTGTCAGTACAGTCAACAGGGCTCGCAATTCCCGGAAAGGTAAATTGCATTTAAGACTTACTCTGAAATTGTGAAATTGCAATTCTACGAAGTATTTGCTCATTTATGTATTAGATACATGTGCGTTAGTGAATATCAGGACTGAATAATAATATAACTATTATTATTCACTAATATATATTTAGTTTGATTTCATCAAGAATAAATATTCCCAAAGGGACTTGAGATTATTTGCTCTTGATTTAATGATTATATGTTATCTTGGCTGGGTTGTATGCTGGTCTAATAAATGTTATATGCAGTGTGTGATATACAGTATCGTGTGTACATTGCTGATGCCGCCCTGTGCAAACACAGACCTGCACCCATCAGTCCTGACAGACATTCAGTTATCTCATGTTATGTAACCTTGCGTTTATGGCAGAGGGCACTGGTGTATTTTAGGTCCATTAATTGTGTGCATGTGCCAGTCTATAGTCAAGAATACTGCCAGCTAGTTGTTTACTTGCTAAATTACTCCTACCTCATTCGTTGGTCAGCACTTTGGTTACTTATCTGAATGAGCCCATGCATATTGCATAAACAGGGCTTTAGCATATTTATGTTATGCACGTCGTGGTGGCTAGCTAATCATAGTATTAGTCGGGAGCATCATCATTGATTAATGCGATAAATACATCTGTGTCATCAGCATTGAAACACGCTTCCGTTTCTCTTGCTGACAGAGGAGTTATTTATTCAGTGCGCGCATCTCTGTGGTGCGCAGCAACCACAAAACACAGACAGTAGGACAGACGACAGCTTGTGCTTGCGGATGCCGATAGATGCTTGCTTAGTCCATTAATTAGGGGCCGCGTGTACCAAGACGCTGCTGCTGCTACGCACGCATGATGACGCATTCAATAGTGTTTGTGTTTACACGCATTCGCGTAATTCACACGTGCTCGCTGTCGTCACACGTGCCCTGCTCTCAGGCACCCGCGGGTGTTGTATGACCTCCTTATGCACGAATCGTGTACCGGGGAGAAATACAAATTTTTCCGGAAATAGCCGAAGGGTAGTAGGACGCAACTTAGGGATCGCTCGGGTCCATAATACACATGTGTACACATGTATACGCATTGTGAACCCTAACCCTAACCTAACCCTAAACAGAAAAATTAAAAAATTAAAAAAAAAAAAAAATAAAAAATAAACAGATTCGAACCAACGACCTTTGAGACGTAACGACCGCACTCTACGAGCTCGGCTATTCAGCACTATTGAAAATAGCACATGACATATGCTAAATAAGCAAATGCCCTGGTATGTAAAATGTGTATTTCTCCCTGGTGCAATAATCCTTATGCACTCGCTCTCCCCGCTGCCGACTCTGACGCTTCTCTGTGTTCTACTTTCCGCAGGAGTGCAGCTGATGGTTTGGAAACATCTTCCCGAGGCAGAGGTCGACCCGACGCTCGCCGCCACCAGCGTCAGCAGCCTCGAGATCGAAACAGACGAGTGCTGTCGGTGAGGTCGTCGCCACGGCAACGTCCGTCCATCCTCCCGCCGCCGCCGAGGGACCGATGTGGCGTAGGGGAGGTCGCTAGCTAATTTCTTCCGTGCGGTAAAACTGTGGCGTCGGCACGCTGGCCGTGCTGCGAGCGTCCTGCGACGCTAGATGACGCACGCGTACGTCATACGTCGTCGACGTGCGTGCGAGCGACCGTGTAGCCTCCGTCTCGTTTGAGGAGGTGTGATCTTTCGCCTTGGAACTGTTGCCAAAGTTTAGTCGAATTCTTTTGTGTGAAATTCTGTCTGGACGTCGCAGGCGATGGGTATCTTGCTCTTGTCCGATTACCGTAGGAAGTCTGTATACGTATGTAAAAGTTTGAACGACCTGGTTTTTTTTCGTTTTTGAGTGGCAGCGTGGTCTACTCTCAGTTGAATTGGTCGATGAATTACAAATCGGTTCCAGATTTTGTGATTTAGGTTAAGTTACTCTGCAAAAAAACCATGGCTCTGCGGAATAGCGGAGGGTGGCTGACCCTGGACACGGGTCATTGATCCCGAAGATTCCACTGAGAGATATTCTGCATTGTTCACTCACATGTTAATATTTCTAGAATCTTCCTTAGCCGAAGTCATCTGTGCAAATCCCCAACGATTCCCGCAGCCGATAGTCGATCTTGTCCTTATTCGTTGCCATCTGAGAGACAACTTGGTGTTATACTCTACCGGATTTCATGGGGTTGGCTTGCATCTTGACGATATGTTTGACACACCGCACAGGAGACAAAAGTGTCCCACTTTTTCTCGCCAGGCGGATTGTGCTTCGCGTTGTGACTTTGTCGCGTGTGCACTCGCGATTCACACTGCTTCACGTGTCACCTAGGGTGAAAGTGCAGACTACATAGCACTGGTCAGAATTTCAGGCGTGAATTTTTTTCCGCTTTTTCTCGTCGACATTCGAGTTTCTATACATGTAGTAGAAGCGTTCGCCGGGCGAACGGCTGACGGTCTTATCGTTCAGGCTTCGAGGCCCGGGATATTTTTTAAGAGAAAGAACCTTTTTCGGCAGGATGTTCCAAAGAACTACCCCCCCAATTTCGGCAAGCTTTCTGGTGATGAGGGTGCGCGTATGCAGGCAAGAGGGGGACTGGGGCGATGAAATCAGGTGTATGCGAATTCGAGATGTCTCTAGTTTACGTACTCCTGGCACTGTTAGTGCAGACTCGCTGACACAACTTACAGGTGAGCGTTTTTTGTCGACGACAAGCAAAGCCGAAGCAGTCTCTTATTCTCTCTCACTTACACAGAGACTGCTGAATGAAATAGACAGGGCTGTTACTGTGATACAGGGAGTCGGGCAGAGATCGGTGATAGATCTCACAGAGTGCCTTCACTGTTCCGACAAGGTTCCTATAGCAAAGGCCGTGTAGCAGATGTTTGTTTGTTTGTTCACTGTAGCGTAATAATAATGTGTCGGGCTCACACGGCAGCTAGAGGACGAGGAGTGACGCGAGACATGCACGCTCGCCACTCGGGGCAGTTATCCGGCAACGCACGTCTCAGTCTCTGTGGTCGCATGCGGGTCTGCTATACCTTCCGGAGGTGGTTGCATGCCGTTTCATGTTGGCGGCTGCAGCCATAGTCATCTGTATACGACGTGAATGTGTTATAGGTCGCACTGACATATCGCGAGATAGATCAGAGTGAGGCATCTATTCTAGCCTTCCTCGGATATATTTGCCAAGCAAAAAATTCAGATGTTTATGAAATACGGACGTGCCACTATTTTTGTATTCGACATCGTGGCACATTTCGGGCAAGCCGTGCAGCCCCCCCCCCCATCTTTGCATTTTAAATGCGTTCTCGTTCGCTGTAACGTATCTGTCACCGCGGGCAAAGTTTTTACCTCTGTTATGTTAGCTAGTTTCTTAGTTAAATCCCGAAATATGCGCAGAAACCGCACTCCGAGTGGGCACACATATATGCTCTCACCCAATACCGGGTTTTATGCTAATCCTTTAGCAAATGATTAGAAAATTTATGTACCAGTCGAAATTGCGTTTGGTACGTGTGCTCCGTCTATAGCATTACCGGTCGCTTCAGGGTGTTGTTTGCGTGCATGTATACGTTCAGAGCAATATTTCGGTGGTTCGTCGTATTACACATGAACAGACGCAGTCTCCATGTTATTAGGGGTTAATAATGACAAATATTCATCATGATTTGTCATTATTGACCCCCGATGTTATCTTGTTACATGTGGTAAACGGGCGTGTAGTGATAGTATAAATGTAGGTGATGTTCGATGCCATTGGTAACGGGAATACATGACGTGCCCCAGGAAAGTATATAGCTGAAACGAAGTTGTGGCGGTTGTCGAGAATTTTAAGCGTATGCAAGACTGTAGTGTCTTATTGTATTGAATTTTATTATAAAACTTATATATCACAATTAGTAAAATGATATGTGTATCATTAGTTAGGATTCTAGTATAGTAACTAGTATTATATGTAGTTATAGTATTGTTTTACTGTTATATGTAGTACATTTAAGTACTATTCAATGTTAATTTATATATATATATATATATACATGTATATATATAGAGAGAGAGAGAGAGATTTTTATCCACTTTGTAATATCGAACTACATTTTGTACATAACGCGGTTGAATGTAGTTTAATTGTAATGTAATATGTGCATTCTATACAATTAATATATTACACTATTAATATATTAAACTAGGAGTTCATGTCTTTTTGTTGGCAACCATGGAATCTTAATTTATTTTGGTTAAAACCTTTATATTTAAACAAATTATAACCCCTTACTGTAACAAAGGTCAGCCCAGCAGTACATATTTCCACGAAAATTGAATAAATCCAATTATCACTGCATTGCCGACTGCCTAACACATAATAGTATACACAAATAACCATGTATTAATTATTACGGATGTGTGTCAATATCTGCTGCACACTCAACCATAGATATATATACAAACACAGGGCATGAAATTAGCCATAATGTGAACAGGCCCACCCAAAATTTTAAACAGCCACTTACAAGTTTGAACAAGCCCTTAATTTTGTTCAATTCATTCCATTATCAATAAAAGTATTAGCTTTGTGTTTATTAGGCATATTCATAGTATTTCATTTTCAGTATTATCATTGTTGCAATTTCATTTTGCTATTATCATGCTTATATATTTCATTGCTATCAATGGAGTTCTACTTGTTTGACAGGAATTGCTGGAAAATGATTTACTTATTAGTAGTCACTAAGTAAAAACAGTCAGGAAGTTGGCAAATATTGTTGATATAAACTTAAAAGGCAAGATAACTAAATTTTTTAATAGGCCAAGTGGACTGATTATATGGGGGTTGATCTTGCAGTTTAGGGGTTGAAGTCGCGGCCACCGGCAGAACAGCGCTAATTTCGCGCACTGCAAACACGTGTTTATATGTCTATGCTGTCAACATCCTTTTCTATGCCAAGACCTGACACTAATTCTCTTAGTCTGCCGAATTTTAACATTAACCTCAGACATGACCGTTATCCCGTTATTATCGGTTATGTCTCTGTTACAAATTCTTTTGTTGGGAGAAAAGCATCTATAGAATACAGATCTGTATTCTATATCTATGGGAAAAGCCAGCCTTACACATGATTTATTCACCAAGATGTGTGAAACAACACAAAGCAATATTATTCAGGGTTCAACATTAACTTTTTATTTCACTAGACCATCGGGCTGGTAACTGAGGAAACCCACTAGCCCTGACCTAAGTTTCACTAGCCCAGACCCAGACCGTTGTAATGAAAAACTTTATTTAGATAAGAGTGTGTCATCGCATGAATTCATAGATGCTGTTTCCTGCGCTTTAAATCGCGCGTGGGCCGAGTTCACGTGCATCATTCGTATTCTACCACGGGCATACACGAGCGCACGGTTTATCAATCATCTACTGTGGCTGGCAGCAAGCCACGTTATTGTTTTGCCAAAGGGTAGACTGGTATCCGGCCTTACGCCCTGCTAGACCATAGATATATATACCAACCAAGGTTGGTTGGTATATATATCTATGGCTAGACAATGTACACGCTCTGCGACAAACAGTGCGGCCGCAAACCAGTCTAGCCAGAGGTGACCTTTCAGTGCAATATATATGACCAATTCTAACACGACCAGTCGGGCTACTAGCACTCTGGTTGTATGCGACCGGACCAAGCATTTACCTGACTAGGTCGGTCGGACGTGGGTTAGTGTCGAACCCTGTATTATTGTTAATATAAAGCGGATCTGGGGCGCGTTTCACGAAGCTCCGTTCGCTATTTTCTCCGCTAACTCCCGAGTTGTCCGCTAAATAGCGGAGGACGCGTTTCACGAACCTCCGTTCGATAAAGTCGCTCGCTATTTACCGCATTTTAGCGGACAACTTTATCGGGAGCTCTGCACGTCCCGCTAAGTTTAGCGAAGCACTCCCCCCATTCTACTCCAGTCCGGTTATATATGCAGGTTTTCCGGGTCCGGGTCCGGGTTTTATTCACACCCGACCGTAGGGCCTACGGTAGTATTTGTGAATGTGTGTTCATATTATTTTCAGTTTTTACTGACTCTGTCCCAAGTGCCTGTGGGAATACACGGCTACGTATATACACGGCTACACGAACACACGGCTATCGATACACGTGGCCGAGAGACCTCGTGAAAATGCAGATACGAGGCTTGTGCGTGAGTTAATTGTTTGTGTATATGATAGAACGTAACCAAGCAACTGCACAACACGCTTGTATAGTTATCTGCCAGCTGACTGCCAGCTTTCCTCCGCTAAATAGCGGCGCCGGAGGCATAGCGGAGCGTTAGTGAAACAAGAGTTGTCCGTTCGCCGAGTTCTCCGTTATCATGCATCCAGCGAACGGACAACTTTGCGGAGAACTTTAGCGGACGTTACTGAAACGCGCCCCCGCTCTGCCTATATACTAATAGTAATATAGGGGCGGTGCTAGTGTCGATCTTATTCTATTAGTATTAGTATTAGTATTACCACACTCCACAGCCACAGGCCCACAGGCCCTTGGAGTCTCAATTTTCAAGTTTCAAGAAGAGTAAAACTAAAAGAGCAAAGCGGGCTAATGATAATTTTGCCAACGATACTATCTACTCGCTAATCTGTGAGTAAATAAAAACCTATTGAGTATTGTTTTTATTTAATCCTACTGATCTCTTGTGAGTCTTGGCAGAAATATGACATTCACAGAAACTTCTCTACCACTGTTATGATCACGCGACAGGAAAAGCATGTGAAGTCATGACCAAAATTCAGACAAGAACATGCGCAGAACTTTCACCTAAGAAATAGTTCTCAAGAAAATTGGAAGAAAATAGCAGCTTTAGCAGGGTGAAAAACTCTTACACGCCGAAGATATTTTTGTCTAATATATTCTTTGTAGTTGATCTTATAATTTCTTTGTATGAGCAACGATTTATAAAACAGCGATGACGGTGATGATGACGATGAAAACCGGTTTACGGAAACGGCGGAAGAGAAAAAGTGACCTTTAACCCCAAGATGTCAGCCCCCAGTTCTAGAATTCATGGCATATCGCCGATGCCGATGGCAATGGCTCTCATAACCTCATAAACATTAGTCTTCCTCAAACTCAAAGTCCAATCGAAGACAGAAATTGATCAATGCGGAGCGCAGTAGAACAAAGCCTCAAATTTGCAATTCACTAAAGAGGAAGGGAGATCTGTATACGTCGTCAACATCTGTCATCTGAGCCGAGCTGCACCGTGCACGCGCACGCCGCGGTAAAACTGGTAAACAAAATAATTCATAACCATTTTGTTCATGGTAGAGTATACGATGATGATGTTTATTGGCCCATCTGATGAAATAGGGAATATAAAAAATTCCAGACTATACTGTGTTGTGACGTGTCACTGTGTTACGTAGGCAGTAATACTGCATTACTGAGTAAATACGCTACTCGCTAGGTGCTAGGTTCGCTGTCTTACTCTTACTCTTACTCTTAGCCACATGCACTTGGAGCGTTTCACTATAATACAATGCTAAATAAATACGAAATCTATTTATTACCAAAGTCTTAATGTTTCTCTACTCTCTTTCACCTATTATTGCCGACAATTTTCTGTAAATGCCGTCCAAATGCTCATCTGCAACACACGCAGGCCGCAGCACGCTAGCTGCTAAGCTGATGCACACTGACACATAAATATGTAGCAGGTAGGAAAGCGTGCTGCCAAAATTCGCTCGACGCTCACTTGATTTCATACGAATACAACACAAATATTCAACGCTGTGGCTGTATGCCCGGCACCCTAACCCTAACCCTAACCCTCCTGTTTACTTGAGAAATCACCGAAAATTAAAAACTGCCGGGCATTTAGGAAATCAAAGACCGTGCCCGGCTGCCGGGCATATAGCCACTTCGAATATTCAACCATTCTACTCCATCTTTGTTTCTATTTGAAGAACAGTGTTTACTTGTTATAAACACATACTGTCTGTGTTCGTAACCGAGCTGTGTC